GTGCATCATCATCACAGAGGAGCTCAAGTGAACAACAGCGTAAAACAGCAATGCTCATCGCAGGTTTTGTTGGCGGAGACGTGCTCTTTAGCACAGATTATAAGATTACATTAAAGCCAATACAAAGGTACAGAACTTGATCAGCTTCTCATAAATGATCGAGGCCCTTGACAAAAGCATACTGTGAAACCAGATGAGTGAAAGGTCAGGCTGGTGTCTCACAAATCTGAAAGTACTTAGTATCTTAAGGTGCAAATTTGTTATATTGTGTTATGAGAATTAAATACACACAGAGCGGATAAGAAGACACACATTCACACCTTTTCTGCTGTGTAAATCCGTACTTGTCACTTTGAGTATCAGATAAACTATTCACGTACTTGCAAAATGCAAAATGCTTAATATCAAAAAAATTAGGCAGGATGGAGAATTTTTACCACAGTTATCACTTTTCCTGCCAGAAATGTAAACAGCCTCAGGCACAATGAATATAATAGATTTTAGTCACTCATCAAAATGCTGATTAGCTTTTTGTCTAGGCTATTTCTGCACATTATTCTTATTTAGTAGTAGAAAATTATTTTATTTTTTTCAATGTGTTAAATTTAAAAGTCAGACGTTTACCTGACAAAACCAGGTTTAGACACAAATACTTCTTAAAGAGGCAGAATGTTTATCCTTCACTATTAAGCACTATTGTTAAGAATAAATGGTCCTTTGAATGAAAGTTTGCTTGAGGGAGCTTTTTGTATGAGCTCTAGGGTAGCCTATAATTAACTTTTTTGGTAATTAAGGCAGTGGTTTTATTTTACAAACCTGCTGGTTTCACTGTAAAAAAATAAAAAATAAAAAAAATAAACAAAAGCAAAAGGTGGTGATGCTGGGGGATGCAGGGATTCCCAGAAACAGATAGCCAACGTAAAAAAGGTGAAGACATAAAAAATAATTAGTTTCCCCAAAGTCAAACAGCTAGTCAATTAGGCAACCTTATTTGGTTGTCAATGACTCTTGATTATCATAACCATTTCAGTGACAGAACGTGTTGCTGGACGTTAGTAAACTTTGTTCAACTTATTAGGGAAAACCAAGTAATAGACTAAACAATTTGATGATCCTGTCAGATGCTCCAGAGATTCACAATATCATTAGGGCATAGGCTTTCTCATAACCTCCATAATATGATAAAATACATACTTGAAAGCAGTAAAAAGAAAAAAAAATTGGATCTTCAGAAAAAGTGCAGCTAAAGAGATTTAGAGAAACAGCCATGGGATTCTGTCTTTTAACTAGATAATGCAAATTCATTTTCCTTCATGGGGGAAATGTGTTTCTCAAGAGGTGCAGTTGGTAAAGGAATCAGATAAGACAAAGATACTATGGGAGTATCTAACTCTTCCATGACTCAATTAGCATTCTGATGAGCATGATGCCATTTTGAAAGAGAGTGAGGTAATTCCAGGCATGAGGCATTCAAATGAGTCTGAGTCATTGCTGGAGTGAAAATACATATTGTCTCTGATTAAAACCGCTGAATGGTTTTATAAAACCATTCTCTGAAATATTCTATAACCGTATTATGAACATATTGGTTTTCTGTCTGAACTTGGATAATATTTTAGCAATGTGAGGCCATAAAGCTTTAATAACTCTAGCAGAGCACCTCTAGGAGATGATAGATATTCACATCATAGTTGTGCAACCAAGAAATCTGCAGGAAAATATGTGTTGCCATCATGCCAGTCTGGACCAAAATTACACCTTGTTGAATCTATGCCAGGATGAATTATTAGAATTTCAATAGAAAAAGCAGGCCAGCCAAGAACCCAGAATGTGTTTAAGAAAGGCTAGATAAACACAAACTAACAAAAGACTTCAGTAAATATATCAACATTATACAAACTGAGCAAAAAGACAAAATTTAATTTTCTCGATTGCATGGTGTTTTCTCAAAAGAACAGAGGTTTTCTGTATAGTCATTTGTCCATTTTGGTAATGGTCACTAGCTTTTCAGATCATAATTCTACAATCAGTACTTAAATACATATCACATCACAGAAGCTGATATGAAGAGATAACAAACAGTGTGTAGGTCAATAACCTATTCATGGTTGCAGAACTAAAGGGAACGTGGCTAACAACTTGTAGCATTCACCTGAGCGGCATTTATAAGAAATGTCAGGTATTTCCACCCTATCTAAATAAAACCTGTTACGGTCCTAATACTGGCTGTCCAAATGCCCTTTAAATGATGCACTTTAAATAAAACTTGTTATTGTCCATTCTTAAGAAGTAATCTCCAGCTGCTGATTAATGTCTTGCTCAGATGAGATGGAGACCAGAAGATCCTGCAGTGTTTTTGTTCTGCATAGACATCTAGAAATAACAGCGCAGAAAGTCACCCTTGTTCCTCAATTCTGCATCACTCCTAAAGCTCTCTTTTGTTATCAATTTGTGGCTTCAATTTTTTACTTCCTCTCAAGGTAGATCAAGCATGTATGGACGGATAGATTTTGACTCCCAGTCTATGTAAAGACATTTTAGTTGATGAAATTAAAGTATGTTCTTTACAGTTGTTGGTGCCTTGCAGAGTACTCTTTTTTTTTTCTCCTACAGAAAGTGCTCCTGGCTCAGTGCTCTATTTAGTTGTGCTTGTATCCGAAAAGAGGCACTGATAGAGCTATTCTGTCAGAATTAATTTCAGGAATAGCTTTGTCCCAGACCTGACAAATGACCAGTCACACTGATCCCAGTTCAGTGTGGAGTTTCTTTCTAGTGTAGAAGAAGTGGGTTTTCTCCACTGTCAGCACATCGCTGAATTTTAAGTAGCGTTGCAAAGTCAACAAGATACAGATACAATCTGATCCACTTCATTAAGCATAACTGTTTACCAGCTGTAATTATTTAATCAACTCCATCTGTCTGCATGGCATTACAATTTTAATCAAATCAAACTGTATCACTTTTATCATTGAGTTGCTTTGGAATAACTTGAATTAAATGGGACTGCATAAGTATGTATCAACTGAACCCATTTGTCTTATAAAGTAAATTGAAGTGAAATTAGTTGTGAACTGGGACTTAACAATTCAGTTGAATTTAACTGACCTTTAATACAAATAGTAAGACACAAGTTTGAGGCCTAGGAACCAAAATAGTGTTGTGTGTTTTTGTGCCATTACCAAAGATACATTTCCAGTTTATGTAAGTTCAATGGACAATAAAGGAGTCTAAAGTCTAAAGTTAAGTACAACACTGTTTGAGGGAACTGGCTTTCACCGTAGCTAGAAGAGTATGAGTCTTTCCTGACACCTTTTTGCGGAGGGGCGTAAAAAAAGTATTTACAAGATCTTTGAAAAACTAACATAACCTAAGAAGAAAACATTTGTGTTTATGCATACCTAAACAAACAAACACCTATTTTCTCTGAATGTGTTTGTGCTGGTTCCATGCATTTATGACGTCACCTGTATGCAGAACGCAAAATGTCAGGAAGGTTTACATTAGTCAGCAGATCCAGTGGACCACCTCATTAGTCACTCTGACACCCTCTTCTGGCCCTGGCTTTATTGATGAGACCAAGCTCAACAGCTACCCCTCTCTTAACACACACAAACACAGACGCTGATCCTCCTCTGAAAGCAACAGGAGACTGATTCAGCAGCTCAGGTGGAGAGGCCAGCACTGTGGCTGTGTATGGGCTAGGAGCTGCTGCGTGTCCAGAAAATTAACATCCAACAGAGCAGAAAATGTCTACGGTTTAACAAATGTTTGTTTGCAGGTGGAGTGCACAGGCAATCCAGAAACAAACATGTCCACAACAACAGATTTGTGCAGGTTGTGAATGGCAGGGCATGGTCATAGGGTTCCAAGTGTGTCACAGCAATGAGCTCAGAGCCGTTTATGGCCTCAATGACTCTGACATTTAGCAGGATGCTGCAATTTATCAGCTTCTCAGTCTGACTCATGCGCAAAAAACATACACACAAAGTCATTGAAAGCATCAGGCCCAATAGTGCTACATCCCATAACTTTGTTTGTGTGCATTGTTAAATGAATGCATGTTTGAGTCGATGCACTTATAAAAAGAGCTTGCTGAATTTTATGATGAAAACTAATCAGTGCATCATAACTGCTCAGAATCTTCTTTCTGTAGCAGTCAATTAATGACAATTTACAGTTTTTAAACAGGATACAATAACAATCTGAATGCCGCATATTGATCAATCATTAACTTAGTAAATGGCAGCCTTTCTGCTTTTTAAAATCTGTTAGTACTAATAATCCTAATTGTTGGTGATATTTGCAAATGAGCAAATATTTGATTCATTTTGAATAAAGCGCATTTACGTCCTTCACATTTATAGCCTTAACCTCAAGGCACTTTATCGCCATCCAACAAAGAGTAAGTCTATTTGCGGGAAGTAGTTGAAGTAAGTAGGAGTGCTCTCCACATGCAGAGTCACTGTTTCAGTTGATTCTGGAAGTGTATTACTGCTAACCACAAGGGCAGTTAGAGACAGCACTAATGCCATAATCTGTTTCTCCATCGCCTCTCTAATGTTTTGTTTCACTAAGGCGCTTTCAACTTCCTCTTTTTCTCCACATTTCTCCATGTTCTTTTTCTCAGTGATGTTTTGAAGTCTGAGCAGTGGCACAGTCATTACTGGAAGAGAATATCTTGATGGGTGCTCTTCCCAGAAGAGTAGTCACGAATAAAAAAAAGATTTACAGAGAAAACAGTGCTATTTTTCTGCAGTCATAATATGAAAAGTTTAGAAGAGATACTTTGGACTGAGTGGACCTGCTTTCAGAAGAGCTTGCAGGTTTTAAGTCCACAGAATCAGACGTTTCAAGTTAAGCTGTAATCAAACATTTACCCACACAGCTAAAAATAGAAATGGATCCATTTCCAGATTCATTTGCCGAGTCTCAGAAACATGCATACATGCACACACACACACAGCAAATCACAACCAGATAAAAGACATGTGTGCTCTTACCCGAGCGTTGTCATAGTAACGATGGTGTACCAAAAGGAGGCTGGGATGCTGGTGAATTTGCTGGAGGTTGAACCCTTCTCTGCGTAGAACATGACAGTGGCAAAGATAATTATGGCCATGGTGAGGGAGAAGAGCAGAAACCCCAGCTCCGAGGCACAGCTCTTCAGCGTGTAGCCCAGGATGCGCAGGCCCTGCGAGTGACGGGAGAACTTAAAGATACGGAACACTCGGAAAACCCGCAGCGTCACGAAAGCCCCGCTCACGTCCTCATTGTCAGTCATCACCAGTCCGATGTAATAGGGTAGGATGGCCACCACATCGATGATGCTCATGACAGATCTCATGAAGCGGTAGCGGTTCGGCGCAGCGAACAGGCGCATCAGGTACTCCACCGTGAAGATCATCACGCAGGCAGTGTCCATGCAGAAAAAGGCCACAGTGTAGCGCTCGCCACATGGCACTTCCTTCATGTTGGGCGCTGAGCCGCAGGGAACTGTCTCTACCACGTTGGTGATGACAGAAACAGCAATGAAGAAACCAGTGACATAGTAGAAGACCAGGGCCATCGTGGAAGTGTGAGGGTTCTCAAATGCACGCCACATGGTTTCCCTGAATGTCATGTTGGGCAACTTGGCATCTTTGTTGTCCTCCTGGTCGTCCATGAGGCGTTCTGCATTCTCTCTCTTCCTGTCCTTGTACTCTTCATAGCAGCAGTCCCCGATGATCTCTGGGACAATGCCAAAGAAAGCTAGCTCCTCATCATAAGAGGAGATGCACTCATATCGTGGATAGTGGAGCTTGCCAGTGCGGTAGAAGTTTAGCACACTGCGGAACACATCAGGGTCACGGTCAAAGAAGTACTCTTTGGTGTCCTCGTTGTAGAAGAACTCCTTCTCCGAGCTGCCGAGCAGCGTGTCCGGATAGCGGTCCAAGGTGTTCCTCCAGGTCTGGAAGCGCCGTCCACTGACATTAAGGACTATGAGCTCGTCCTGCCTCTTGTTCTTTTCAGTGGGGGCGACCGGCATGGGCAAGTTGGCCACAGGCATCCAGCCGATCGCCGCTGCCCGAGCAAACGGAAGCCATGCCGCTACTCCCGCTGCCATGATGGTTTCGGCTCGGGGCGCAGGGGGAAACAGGTCAAACACCTTCACAACCAGCTTGACTTCAGCCTCTTCACCATCTGTGATAAAAACATGGAAGAAGTCGATGAGGGTGGGAATCACTTACTCAAACAACGTTTCAACTGTGATTTGGATATTTTGATATTGAGATATTGCAAAATAAACAAAATCACAAGCTTATTAGGAAAACAAACAACACATACAACATTTTAACAATTTATGTCAATATATATAAGTTATTAAAGGAGTAACAGAAATGACATCCATCAGTAACTAGTTGAGAGCTACATTCTAAGACAGGGTTTTGATTAGCACAGTGGGTTTCAGAGCAGAGACAGATTGCACCTTCAATAAGAATCATCTGCTTTCACTTCAAGGTTATCTTTCTCTCCTCCTTCCTGTGGAGATGCAATAAGAGAGAACCTCCTCAGGTTGTAATTAACTGCATCTCACAGATAAAAGAATCCAGAAGCAAATTAAAATGACTAAATTGGCATCTTTTTTTTTTCTTCGCATCTCTAAAACTTTGACTTTTTTCAGATCAAACAAACCTGTTGAGTTCCAGCTGGAAGAAGTAGAGAGAGAGAGAGAGAGAGTGAGAGAGAGAGAGAGCGCAGGACGCAGCGTAAACCTTGACCGAGCAAACTGTTTAGCGAACATTGAATGAAAGCACGTCGATGTGACGCCCGGAACGTTAGTGATCGGTAAGCCTCGCTTCTGAATCTGCCGGTTGCAACGAGTCAAAGAGACACAGAGAAGATGATGGAGAGAGTAAAATGCCTTCTTGTTGACCGCTTTCGGTCAGTCAGGCTTCAAACTCACCGATTCAAAATTCTCCATCCAAAGAAACACGAGCAGCCTCTCCGAACTGTCAAGTTTCAACCAGATAAGGATTTTCTTTTTTTTTTCCAATTACTGAAAACGAGTCTGGAAAAAAAAAAAGAAGAAAGAAAGACAGTAGAGAAGTTATTAAGCTAAAAGAAGGACGTTTTTACTTAGAAAGAAAGGAAAGCGGAAAAGTGGCGTTGAGCAATTTACCACAGTCGTTTTCTATCAGTTTCCATGATGCGGGAGGAAAAACGAGGAGCGGAGTCCGCCGTGAGGACCGCGGTACCTTGGCTTTTCTGGATGAGTGGTAGGAAGAGACGGAAGAGGAGGAGGAGGAGCGCCCTTCCTCTCTCTCCTCCCATCTCTCTCTCCTCTGTGCGCAGGGTAGGTTTGTAAACCTAACTACAGTTGGTTCAGGAAATACACTGCTCAAAAAAATAAAGGGAACACTCAAATAACACATCCTAGATCTGAATGAATGAAATAAATATGAAAATATTTTCCACCTGTTGTCTATTCCCTTTGCACAACAGCAGGTGATATTGATTGTCAATCAGTGTTGCTTTCTAAGTGGACAGTTTGATTTCAAAGAAGTTTGATTTACTTGGAGTTATATTGTGTTGTTTGAGAGTTCCCTTTATTTTTTTGAGCAGTATATAAGTTGTTTGCTTTTTTTGTTGTTGTCATAATCCTTTGGATATTTCAGCTTTTCTGTTTCAATCTTTATTGTTTTCAGATATCGTTCATTTCCTGCCTTAGTTCAGTTTATTCTTCTCGTTTTGTTTGCTTGCTTGTCTTGTTAAGGCTCCTGCATGGCCTCAGCAGGCTGTGGAACATTTTTAATGTAGCAGTGGCATTGAAATTGATTACAGGTGATGAGAAGATGGATGGAAGCAAATATAATATATTTGAGAGACATTGAAGGAGCCTAACTTTACCAGGAGGAAAGCAACTATAAGCGTTCAACTAAAGCTTTGGGTTCCTCTGGAATAGATCAAGTGCTTTCCAAGTTCAGGCCTCTAGCTAGTCAATTCATATACAGATGCAGTTGATATTAACGTCTGCATTCACACATTAATTAAAGCAATGTGCAGTCTTAATTGAGCCAACAGGGATCATACCAGAATTTCAACAGCTAACATACAGACTGCAGCAAAATCATTTTGGTCACAGAAATGCATGTAGTCCATATGAAAAAATCAGTACTTCTGGCCAAATTGTATTTTTCACCATAAAATCACTAAGAGATGGTTTATAGACCCTTGTTTGAAAATGACAAATTGCAAGTCATTGTTACTTGGACACTCAACAACACACATTCCCTTGCCCACACAAACTCAGACGCTCTTGTTTATGCTTCTGTGGTCCTCTATAACTATCCTCAGAGGCAGCTTTTTCTTCTTTTCTTTCGACTCAATCTAGTCCCTGACCGTAAACTGCCCTTTTGGAAAAATAGATAATGGACAAAATTACTCTTCCTAGAGAAAAATATATTAACTCATTAAACTCAAACTGGATGTCACAAGAGGAGGAGTTGAAAACGTACAAACACAATGATCACTCCTCAAACACATCAGGTCACATGCAGGACAGACATTGGCCTTTGCAAAGAAACTGTAAGAGGTTCCAATAGCTTAAATGTCATAGAATAACAAGGTGGGCTGTATTTTACGGTCAACTGCCCCCTGTAATTATCTGTAGACATTAAAATCGTAACTCCTTTGGCAAGATAGTGTGTGTCTGCAGACTGAGAGTCAACCTGCCACAGCTTGGCTGGTTAACACTCATGTTTATACCATTGGAATCCGTTCAGGTTCCAATGTAATGTCTAGGTATTACTACAGGTAAAAGTAAAATGCATTAGTTTGACCTGAATGTGTATTTCAGGATCAACGTGAAAACTGAGTGTGAGGCAGTACGACAAGTATAATTCATGTTTGTATTTTAATGTACCCCTTAAACCTGGAATAAATGTATTAAGATTGTTTCATATTAGAATTTTATGAAAAGTCTCTTGGTATTTCTGAGACTGATCCAAGTTCAAACCCTTATGAAACTGTTTCTATGCTGGGAATAACTGAAGAATGATTCAGTCTAATATTAGCCAACTGCTAGACCAATTTCCATCTTATTGATCCAAGAGATCATTTTAATTTGTAAATTTATTTTTGATTCAACCAAAGAATCTCAGAGTTTATCCTCAGTGACGTATGAGCCTCCTTAACCAACAAATTCCTACTATACAGTGCTTTGACTTTGAAAAAGCAACTTGTCATACATTTCTTTCAAAGAACCAGAAACATGAAGTAGAATGTAAGACTCAGGTGATTTCTAAGTTTGATTGTTTTTAGTAATATACACACACACACACGCACCCTGACACAGATATATAAAAAACATTCAGAGTTTTTGGTATGACACACACCTCTCAGGCTTTATCCTAAAGGTCTTGTTTTGACATTCCCCTCGTTTTATATAAATGTTTTTTGCTGACTTTTTGAGATCAATTATTCATGAAAAGCATTTTACCATTTACCTAATCCCCATTAGATGTCTAAAATCTTCTTTTGGGGATTAACTCAGTGACTGTAATAGAGTTTATCTATGGTTTGCCAAATACTGATTCGACAGTCCTTCTGTCTTCTGTTAAGCAAGGCAGGTAATGACAACCAGGGAGGTTGAAGATGATCTCCTGGCCTCGCTCCAGCAAACAAAGGGACCAAGACAATAGGTCCTACACTTATTCCCAATCTTTAAAATTTCATCATTTTGTTTACCTATTCCGGGAATTAGCGTAGAAACAAGTTTTGTGCAAAAGAAGGCTGTTTCTCAGTCATGGTGACCTACCTAAGCTATAGTACCACAACGTGACCATATTTTTATTTCCAAAAAATAGGACGCTTGTCCCAGTCCAGAAATAATTCAATAAAACATTCAAAATTGATATGGGGCAAATTTAGTCATTTTTAAGCATATGGGATAGAAATTGACCAACCGTACAAACTACACTTGATTAGTAGAAGTGTGTATGGAAAATTGACCTGTAATAATAAAAGCTCATTCTTAAAGTCGATCTACACAAAAATTACGCAAAAGTTAGAAATTATTTTCAATGTAGTAAAAACAAAAAGCAGTCTCATAAAAAATACTTCAGTCTTCAGTTTTAGTATTCAATTCAGTCAATTGAATAAGTAAACTCTCACTTTGTACATAATTTTTTATAATTTTTGTGACCATCTATGGGACCTTTGACACCTGTGTCACAGAAACACAGGCCTTGTGCACAGCACACTCCACCACCCAATTGTTGCAAAAGGGGTGGTATGAAGAATGTTTATTTTCTGACTTGTCCATAAGTATATTTTAAGACATCAGCAGCAGTGCAGCCTGCACTGTATGCTCTGTCTGTTTCGTCTATGAACAGATAAATACCAGTCACTTGGGACCAGCTTGGGACAAGGAAGATGTCATATGAATGTAAAGGTGTCATATTCCATGAATAACCACCAAGTATACTTGATTCCAATCAAATTCAGTATGCCTACTGGTATCCTGAAATACTCGGACATTCAAAGAAAACCCCCCAGACGCCATGCACAGAACTTGAAAAGTGAACAAGTCCAGGGAAAAGAGCAAGTCTGGTCACCGTAAAGTACAATGACTCTAAATTGTACTAAATCAGGTTAAAAGATACCAAGACTTGATTGATATTTCAGAATACACCATTTACTTCAGTTGAGTCATTTGTACATGTGAGATTGTTTCTCTCGCTGAAATATTTGGTAGTTATTTGGATTCAGTCACATTGGAAAGTTATCAATCACTAATTTCAAGCCTCAAAAAAACAATAGTAGCTTGGCAAGACCCACGGTCAAACCTTGAGGTTCAAACCTCTTTACCTCTTTATCTATGGTGAACGAACACATACATCAGATTAACTGGTTGGGGTAACCTGCAATGAATTAATATACAGAGATTTTGCCCTAGGGTAAATGAACAAAATTATATCATAACAATGCAGATGAAAGCCCATCCATGTTCCGATATTCTCCTTATTTTCCTTCCCATATTAATGCAGAGTGAGGAACATACTATCAATGGAGACACACCCAACTGGACTAGAACTGAACCAGCATTTATCTGCCAGAGTAAGACATGAAAATGGATAAAGGGCTTTCCCTGAATACAACCTTATGACTAAATCTGGATAATATACTCAAAATCAAAAACAATGTATTTCAGATTACTTTACACACTGTGAAGCATAAATAATAAAAAAAAAGGTAATAACATTTTAAGAGGTTGACATTTTCATAGCAAACTGAAACATCTCAGAACAGAAGGTGATACGACATCCTTTCTTTCTTTGGAAGAAGTCGACAGGAAAGAAAAATGAGTGGAGTTACTGTCGTTTCAAACACTTCTGACATTTCAGCAGAAACATACACTTTGCACCAGCTTCATGCTGCAGTCACCCCAACACCTTTGCTGTACATTGAACAGACACAGTTTTCCCTTAATCTTTCACAGTCAGAGTTGAACAGAGAGCGAGAGACACAGCCTGTGTCTACTGAGTGTAGGTTTCAGTGCAGGACACGAACAGGCACATTCATACCACAGCTTTTACTTTACAAGGTTAGGAATGAGACCACAGGATTTCCTTTTCTCTTGCAGAACTTTAGTATCTTCCAGTGAATGCCACAATCTAATCTTTCCATGCAGATGGACAATAATATTTCTTTCATGTCATTGTCAAAAGGTTTAATGTCAAAACAGATCAGTGTAAATCTAGACTCTGCTTTTTACATTTAGATTAAAGTTTAAGGACTGTGTAAGTGGTTGAATCTTTACTTATCCCACATGTATAAAGTTGAAATGAGTCATACATTCACCCAAAAAAAGACATATCAATTTTTTCCTCACTGTCTGAAGCTAAATTGGAGGAAACTTATCTCATTATGGGCCAGTTAGAATCACTAAAATTATTTGCTAAATGACAACAAACTTCTTTTTTTTAATTCAAATTTAGATGTTTATATGCATTTGGTCAGCATTTTGCATAGGCCACAATCAAACCTTTATACAATGATTTAATTGTCTATTTAAGTTTCTGATTTAACTTGCCATGCAGATGCACACAATTTGGTTGGCCACCTTAATCTTCACTTTCAGTTCCTCCTATATTTGTGCCGTATCTTAAAGATTTCAAGGAAGAATTAATTAGGTGTATTCAGTCGTCTTTTCTGTACCAATGTTCCTTTTACGTATACAATATCCATCAAGCTACATA